AACCATAGTACTATGTAACAATTCCATTTAATGTTATAGCAGCACTAGCTAAAACAAAATTTCACTATTTCTTTTACTGGTTCGGCTCTGGGTTCTAACCCTTCTGAGAATGTCACTGTATGACACAAAGGCCCTGGAGCCATGCCAGAAATATACGTTTATAGTATGCAAATATATAATAGACATACAATAATCTAAAAACTCTCAACTATGTAGGTAGGTACATTATGTTGAGAATGTATTAAGCTACCGTCAAACAACCACAGGACGCATGACTTTTTCCAAGTGACAAAGACATGACCTAAAAAGGTTCAAATATAAATATCTTTTTTTACGCCTTCTCAGGACAAAATTCTTTGACAGAGTTATTAAGGGCCTTAAAATTTTAAGATATTTTTGATATATAAACGCTACCATTCCATCTCAACTAATTTTATGTATGAAAGTCTGCCACTGTTCTTTCGGTGCAACATGGCAGCGTTGCCAATACCAATTTGTCAAATTCTCTGAAAATTCATGTCGAATTCCCCAATTTAAGGACAAAATATCAACAGATTCCCACTTTAAGAAATGAATCAATTTTCAACTAATTTTATAAGAATATTTTTAACTAACATTTTTTTCTTTAAATTTAAAAAATAAAGAAATAAAATGCATTAAATGATACACAAAAGTTGCCGAAATAAATCCGAAAATTGAAAAAGGGAGCAATTCGATATTCATAAGTAACCTAACAAAATGTTTAGATAAGTATTTAGATTCCTTAAGAAAAAAGTTCTGACTTGGCCCTGGCTATCGATTTCATAATCCCCCGTATAATACCAATCCACATAAAATCCCCAACCAACTTTAAATCCCCCGCAATTTTGGGAATTCCCACAATCGGCCTCCGTGTTCGGCAGCGTTCGACATCTGTCTCTCTCCTAATTGAGTGAGCGATGCGTCCGCATGGACAGCTGCTATACAATAATACATTTACATGTTTTCGTCAAGTATGAAGTGCAGTGAAAAGTGAATGTGATGTCAATTGTTTAAAGCAATATTTTCTTATGACGTTTATCGTGAAGCGACAAATAAAAAAAAATAAAAAAAATAGAACCTAACCTAAGTACAACAAAACCACAAAAGTAGAGCCAGAAAACAATATATTTAAATTTATAAAAGGTAGTTACAATTTTATAAAAAAATGATGTGAGGATGATGATGGATGAAGTGAGAATACAATTAGTTTAAAAAAAAAAAATAAAGGTGAGAGAATAGGGGAATATAGCGTTGAAGTGGGGCCTAAAAGTCGAAGCGACACACGTTGCGTTTGTAGAAGTAGGTTTCTTAGCAGCGACGGCACGCAGCGCCTGAAGCCAGCACACGCCGTTTGCGCTTGTAGAGGTAGGTTTTCTTAGCAGCGACGGCGCGCAGCGCCTGGAGCCAGTACACGCAGCGTCCGGAACCGGCGCACGTAGCGCCTGGAGAAGGGGCGCGCAACGCTTAGAGCCAGCAGTTGCAACGCCCAAAGGTAGCGCCGGCGGTAGGTGCACTCGGCGCCTGGAGTAAGTAGTAGTAGTGCCCGGAGTAGTGTGGCCCCCGCGCTTGTAGTAGACTCGAAGCGACTTCCGAGGTAGATGGAGGCTTGTAGGATTCCGGAGTGGCGCGGCCCGAGTTTTAAGAAGGCTTCGCCGAAGACTTCACGTGTAAATGGAGGCTTGCAGGATCCCGGGGCAGTGCGGCCCCGGGATAAGGCCTTTAGGAGATACTTCTAATTCGCGAACTGAAGCGAGACTGCCTTTCTTCACCGATTGTTCGGCTTTTATACCTTTCTAGAGAGAACGGAAAAATTATTTAAATTACACGCAAATTTTTTGTAAATGGTCAAGAGAAAAGAGGATTTATGTGGAATTTATCGAAATAGGAATAACAGATCGGTAGCAAATTTGAATATAATTACCATGGAAACGATATAAATAAGAAAGACAAAATATGTCAAATTTTTGTTTTTGGTTTATAATAAGAAAACGGTAAGATTTAAGTGGAAAATGAGATATTATTGATATAGGAAAAAGGGTAGCGCAACTGCCCACACAAAGTCCAAGATTGTAGAGTTACGGAAAACTAGCTAAAAGATCGAAAAAAGGTAGACTCCATTGACACCAATTTAAAAGTGCTGATAATGTGAAAATACGAAGTAGAAATGATTTGTTATTGTGTTCTTATGGTTTAAAATCGTTACAGGATCCTATGGAAATAAAGGTGATGTAAAATATCCAGTTTTGAGGTGAATGCAGAAAATCGAAACAGAATGGAAAAATGAATTTAAAATAATGTAAAAAGAAACGTAAGTAGTATAACACTACATTTTCCCCCCGACCCTGGAAAATTTTTGACTCAGCAAAAATTTTGATATATACATTCTAAAATAAACCATAAAAACACAGCTTTGCAGAAACAGACATCACCAGGCAAAATCAGATATACTATCTCTTACATACATCATCTGCCATTCAGGTAAGGGTGGAGTTCACATTCAATGACTACCACTCTAAAAGTGTGTTTTCGAAACGACATTAAGGCTTATTTAAGGAGTAGTCATCCGCTCCTGCGTGGAAAAAAAAATAAATTAGTCGAAGAAACACCACTCTTAAAAGTGTGTTTTCGAAAGGACATTCAGGCTTATTTAAAGAGTTGTCATCCGCTCCTGCGTGAAGATAAAAAAAATATTATTAAGGGAGTAATCAGCCGCTCTCAAGTGAAGATAAAGATAAAGAAATACCTCAAGTAAGCTTTAGTCGCTATGACTTAAGTAAAGATTAAGAACGGCCAGAGCGGTAGGGCTCAAAGCCAGAAAACAGCAACATCACCAACGAGATGTGTCTGAAATAAAAATAAAAAGTGACGATTAACCTACCAAACAAACAAACAAATTAAAAGAAATAATAACAAGGTGAAAATGATGGTGATATCTATACATATATACAAATTAAATGTGATATTTATACATATATACAAATTAGCAGCCAATAAATGTTTAGATATTTATAAAAATATACAAATTAACAGTTAGTAAATGCTTAGAAAAGTTATGAATCGTCTCGCTTCAGCTTTGAAAAACAATTTTATATAAAGTGTAAAGTTCAAAGTTAAGTTAAGAAATAAAGATTTAATTGAAAAGTTATACCTCTTTAAGTTACCTAGAATAGAAATATTAGAGTGATGGATGTAAGTAAAGTGTTAAATGTAGGTCTAAATATAATCTAGATAAGTTGAAAAACTAGATGAAGTTTTGTACTAGAATAAAAATATTAAAGTGATGAATGTAAGTGTTGTGTGAAATGTAGGTCTAAATATAATCCAGATAAGTTGAAACACTAGATGAAGTGTTGTTTTAGAATTTGGAAGGTATGAAAAGGATGAATAAATGAATGATGAATAATGAGTTAAGAACGAAAGGGAGAGCAATTAAATCAAAAGGGAATGGACAAGGCGCAGTAAAGGTGAAGAATTAAGAGAGAAAGAGGACTTTTACGTTGGGCGCCAAATATCGTGAAGCGACAATTAAAAAAAAAAATAGAACCTAACCTAAGTACAACAAAACAACAAAAGTAGAGCCAGAAAAACAATATATTTAAATTTATAAAAGGTAGTTACAATTTTATAAAAAAATGATGTGAGGATGATGATGGATGAAGTGAGAATATAATTAGTTTAAAAAAAAAAAATAAAGGTGAGAGAATAGGGGAATATAGCGTTGAAGTGGGGCCTAAAAGTCGAAGCGACACACGTTGCGTTTGTAGAAGTAGGTTTCTTAGCAGCGACGGCACGCAGCGCCTGAAGCCAGCACACGCCGTTTGCGCTTGTAGAGGTAGGTTTTCTTAGCAGCGACGGCGCGCAGCGCCTGGAGCCAGTACACGCAGCGTCCGGAACCGGCGCACGTAGCGCCTGGAGAAGGGGCGCGCAACGCTTAGAGCCAGCAGTTGCAACGCCCAAAGGTAGCGCCGGCGGTAGGTGCACTCGGCGCCTGGAGTAAGTAGTAGTAGTGCCCGGAGTAGTGTGGCCCCCGCGCTTGTAGTAGACTCGAAGCGACTTCCGAGGTAGATGGAGGCTTGTAGGATTCCGGAGTGGCGCGGCCCGAGTTTTAAGAAGGCTTCGCCGAAGACTTCACGTGTAAATGGAGGCTTGCAGGATCCCGGGGCAGTGCGGCCCCGGGATAAGGCCTTTAGGAGATACTTCTAATTCGCGAACTGAAGCGAGACTGCCTTTCTTCACCGATTGTTCGGCTTTTATACCTTTCTAGAGAGAACGGAAAAATTATTTAAATTACACGCAAATTTTTTGTAAATGGTCAAGAGAAAAGAGGATTTATGTGGAATTTATTGAAATAGGAATAACAGATCGGTAGCAAATTTTAATGTAATTACCATGGAAACGATATAAATAAGAAAGACAAAATATGTCAAATTTTTGTTTTTGGTTTATAATAAGAAAACGGTAAGATTTAAGTGGAAAATGAGATATTATTGATATAGGAAAAAGGGTAGCGCAACTGCCCACACAAAGTCCAAGATTGTAGAGTTACGGAAAACTAGCTAAAAGATCGAAAAAAGGTAGACTCCATTGACACCAATTTAAAAGTGCTGATAATGTGAAAATACGAAGTAGAAATGATTTGTTATTGTGTTCTTATGGTTTAAAATCGTTACAGGATCCTATGGAAATAAAGGTGATGTAAAATATCCACTTTTGAGGTGAGTGCAGAAAATCGAAACAGAATGGAAAAATGAATTTAAAATAATGTAAAAAGATACGTAAGTAGTATAACACTACACGTTGTCACGTTCAACTATCGTCAGTAAACCGACTTTACAGACAACCGATTTTTTTTCCTCGGGATCGAATTTCTTTGTGACCCATGTTCTAAGGTGTAGTACCTACTATCATCTGTCTTCGTTTTCGGGAGCGTTTCAAAAATACCCTGTTAGGATTGAGAAGTTGAAGGTGTTCACACTCACGGGCTGTATGAGTCCGCACTCACGGTCGAGGCAGAGTATCTCGTAGGGGTGCAGCTTGAGCGGCACACGTTCGGCGTCCCAGGCGGCGCGCAGGCGGCGCAGCAGCTGTGCGGCCAGCAGCTCCTGCCGCAGGTCGTCGCCCACCTTCACGATGCAGCCCAGCAGCCGCCAGCCGCCCAGCGAGCCGTACGGCGACGCGCCGCGCATGCGCGCCAACTTGCTCTCCCACGACTCCTGCACGCATGCACACACACACACATCAACACACACATCTGCGCGGCCGCCGCTCAGTACATACACACACATCATGAAGCATCCCACCAAACTCTGCTTGATACGGCCAGTCATTCACTCACACATAATATGTATGTTATAATTATACCCTATACTGTATCGTATGCGGGCTCATTAAATAATAATATAAATCATAGAAACACATATCAAAATCAACTACAAACCATTATTGTAACAAGAATACAAAAGCAATAATCCGCCGTCGGTCAAATTCCTGCTGTTTGACTTTTTTTTTGTAGATATCTATGTCTATGGGCCACAGTAGCCTCATCTTTATCTTATTAAAAAAAGCTAGCTGACAATACAGAATTGACGTAGAGGGCGTACTTATTACACGCTCACGGCAAACAAGAACAAGCATGAACAAGAGACATAAAAGTTTAAATTTGAAAGTAAATGCGAGCCCGTACAGGAAGATAATATACGAGAATGTAGTTTAGCTGACCTTGAGCGCGAGCGCGGAGGGGTCGGCGGGGTCGTGGCGGAAGGCGTTGGGCGGGCGCGCGGCCGTCGCGTCGGCCAGGCGCCGCCGCACCTCGCCCGCGCCCACCGCCAGCGACTCGCGCGACCCGCAAGAAGACCCCGACTGCACCGACTGCACCGACGCCACAGACAGGCCCGACATCTGCCACATTACATTGCCCTCACTGCCACGTTGACTCAAACTATGCTCAAACCGAACGCACTCGGATTCAACTGTCATATCGTGGCAATCAGTAATCCGAGCGCAATAGACGACGGCGTCCGATCCGCGTTGACTAATGAAACAAAATGGCGACTACAATAAGAAAGAGGTATGAGCATAATACTATTAGATTTATTGAACTTTAATAATATAGAATATAAAAATACACACGCAAGAAATCTGATTTTTTTGAATGCGCACGCATGTTGCATGCACGCCTGTAAACATCAAGAGTGGTGGCAAATCAAAATATAACCCAGCCAAATCTAAATTGACTTAATCTGTATTAAAATGATAATGATTATAAAATATAATGCGATTTCAAATTTTAACTTACTTCGAAGGAAATAAAAAAATAAAATTTTCTAAAACCATGTAGTAGTGGTATAATAATACCCACTAGCCCGTGGGTATCGTAAGAGACACAAAGGGAAACTGAACCAAGAAATGAGCAGCATCTCTCTGATAATCACTGAACAAAAAAAACTGCGAAATCAGTATATTTTTCACTTATTTATTTATCAGCACGTAAAAGCCCTACCCTGGACATGAATCTCGGCAAGATTTGCTGTAATTGCCATACTTAAGAGGTGGATTGGGCCTTGGAGGAGCCCAGTTATTGATCTGGTTATTTTACACCTAGCATAATATATAAGATGGTGTACCGTCATTTATCAAAGATCATTAAGATTCTTGTGGTATTCCCATAGTCACCTCTAACGACACTAGAGGCAAAATTGAATAACAGATTCTTTCACGACGCTGACTCGCCGCAAAACCAGTATACTATTTTCAAAGTCAAATTACTAATTTCAAAATCATTCATTTCTGATATGTGTTTTCGATAATATAACTCACAAATAAAACAAAACCAAATCAATAGTTCTTACTAACTCTTAAACAAACCAAGCATACCTGAGATAGACTGTCAGGCGCCGGCGCTCTCGTAGGATAGTGGGCGCCAAGATCGTCGTCGTCGTGACTCCAGCAGTCTCCAGCATCCACATCATCCAGCGCACTGTAGAGGGAGAGCGCGGGCCACTCGGGCACCAAATTCTCCTCGCTCTTCGTATGTCGGATGGGGGGCGAGTGGGGCGCGGGGGGAGCGGGTGGCAGCAGGCGGGGAGGGAGCGGCTCGTGGCCGTCTGTCTCCAGCACCTCCACGTACATTATGTACGGCGCCTGTGGACGGTGGTGGTAAACGTAACTATAAAAAAAATCTAAATTGTTACTTTCGATAAAATATCGACCAAATCAGATAATGAAGGGAGAAAGTAGTAAAGCGGTGAAACCAATTACTGCACTAAAAGTGATTCCACAAAGTTGGTCTCGCTATTACACAATAAAAAGGAGAAAAAATTAAGTAACATCGGCGATATTTTCTAAGGGTTGCGTACAGATTTAGTAACATGTTGTGTAACTTTTGTTTTATAACACGTCCACATTATGTAACATTGTATTGCAACATATAACAATACTGTACACATTAGAATAACAATGCAATATAACAATGTTATATGACATTGTCGTTTGTCGTTCTGCCGTTCGTGTTATATAGCATTTGTATTATATAACACGGTTTATAACATTCAGCATCCACATTACTGAAACATGTTATATATCAAAAATTGAGAAACAAACTTGGTGGTGTGTGGCTTCTATAAGGCCATGGACACCTGTAACCGTCTTAAATATAGAAGGCAACAGATGTGTTGTCACCTCTGAGGACTAAGATGGAACGCCACACAGTTTGTAATTATGCTGGCTCTCAATGCCCTTCCGACCGGAACACAGCCGTGCACGCACTGTACCAACAGTGTATATAATTAAGGGAATGAGATGTGTCGTAATCTCTCGAACGCTGCCCAGCCAAGTTGAATCCGTCGATTGACCTCTCGGTCGAAGTTGATCTTACCTAGTCGGACTATTTGTCCCAAGTAGAGAACGCTTTTTTTTTGCAACAAAGTTTATATAAATGTCTATATAGAAACATTTTATTAGAAGTGCCAAGTGGGTAGACTGTAGTCACCCGATGGTAACAAGGTGGCTAGTAGCTAATAGACTACCAAAAATATTTCATTCAAACTTACATACGCTATTGTGGAGGTCGTCGCGCTCGCGCTTCCTGGTCTATGTTACCCATCGAAAAATCTAGAACCTTTCTTTTCTACTACCTGTTAGGTTTTAGAGCTACGAGTAAAATGGCCAGTCCACTGTAGCTCATTACTAGACATCGGATTATATGCACTAACAAAGTGCCAAAATATGCATGCAAACATGCACTAAAAAAGGTCGAAATATGCACTTAAAACTGTTGATATGCCCAAAATATGCACAATGCAAAATCAAGAAACCGCTTTTATTTTTATATGTTTTAATTAAAGACGGTACAAAAACAGCGAAATGTTCTTAAAATTATGCATAGTTTTTGACAATATACAATTACTATTAAGTATTTTTTCAAATATTCGAACGCAAATTTGTGACGTTTGTCACCCAGTCTCAATTTGTACGCCGAAAACGACCTCTCTACATCAACTGACGTCACTGTACAAAATTTAAAATTTGGCCAACCAGTTCAGTCAGCCACTGCTCTCGCGCCCTACACGTCTTCGACACCTAGGTCCCTATACGTAACTCCCGCTACTAAACGAAATATGCACTCTTAGATTATATAAAATGTCACTATGACCTAATCAACGCCCTGGGAAGTGGTTATCCAGCCACTGTCGAACATTTGATGTGAATTGTGGAGGAGCTTCATGTAGCATAAATACCATATTTTCAATGTTATCAAACGTTGACAAAGCTGGCCACACTCTGTTTTCGAGCACGTTGAGGTAGCGCTCTCCAAATCTCAGACATTTTATATAATCTAAGTATGCACGATTGGAAGAAAGGCTAAAATTTGCATTAACGCCGTAATTAGAGAGTTACATGCATTTGCATATTTGCATATGCGCAGACAGACACCTTATCTTCAGATTCACATTACCATCACTAATAGTTCATATGCGCAGACATTTAATACACAAAATCGTAACAGCTTTTACATATAAAAAATCAATACAAACCATTATTTAGACAATATACAGGAGCTGCAATTCGCCGCCAGTGAAGGTCCCACCAAAATTCCTAACAAAGATATCACTTCCAACATACTTTTCATAACACCTTTCTCCTACTGTTACATCACACAGTGAATACCTACTAACGTGATCTGGTAAATTAGGTCAAAATTGTTGGAACTACATCCCGATGGTTATACAATACAATCCAATAATTGTTATTGCCTACTAACATTAATATAAGAAACCTTAGCCAGTAGCAGTAGGTGGTAAACGACTTATTTAAAGATCTACTTGTAATTTAATTTATAGGTTTAAAAGACAATAGTGTAAAATCTCAAGTACGTACGTAGAAGTACTATTTGATATTTTGTAATTAAACTAAATGTACGTTTTATCGGACTGCTCCAGAAAATACACAACAACACAAACACTCACGCCTGTCACCCAGAGGGGTAGACTACGGACTTCCATTTTTTTCCTTTCCACTTCCACTTGCGATCCTGACACACCTCTCTCGCCTCCTTTACATCCATATATCTACCGCATTCACGCTCGTCGGTTAAGGGTAATCCTAATCTCGCCCATTTTTAATGTATCGCCGATTTGGTCGATAAACCTTCGTCTAGGGCGTCACTTCCCGACCCTGCCGTTCACTTCTGCAACATAAATTTGCTTTGTCACTCTTTCCTCGTTCATTCTTTCTACATGACCAAACCACTGAAGCATTCCTTTCTTAATCCTTGTCACAACGTCATCTTGCAAACTACACTTTTCTCTTATCACACTATTTCTCACCCTGTCATTCAGATTCAGCCCTAGCATACTCCTTCATGATCACATTTCTACAGCATTTATTCTACTCTCATGCTTCTTCTGCCAGACCCAACTTTCACTACCATACATTAAAGTAGGGACTAACACAGCATTATGAATTGCCAAACGTGCCTTCTTTGACACATTCTGACTCTTCACAATAGCGTGCAGAGCCCCATTCACTCTATTTCCTGCGTTCACTCGTCGTTCTATATCCTTATAATATCTACCATCATCCCTGCTAAATAAACATCCCAAATATACAAACTCATCCACTTGCTCAATCACCTCCCCTTCTTATTTCACATAACGTTTTACTTTCTTCTCTTTGAAATACCATCACTTTCGTCTTACTTGCGTTCACTTTCATACTCTTCTTTTAATGACCAGTTAATTAAAGTAACCATCATTTGCAACTCGGCCACCGACGATGCAAATATGACTTGATCATCGGCGTACAAAAGGCATTTGACGGTTAACTCACCCATTCTCAACCCACATTCTTCAACTTTCAAAGTTTGCAAACAACTGTCCATAAATAGGTTAAACAGCCACGGGGAAGCCACAAATCAATGTCTGACACCTTTATGAATGCCAAACCAGTCCGAGTAGACCCCGTTGATCCTGACATAAGCACTAGAGTGCCTATAAAGAGACCTTAATGCCTGTATCAAGCCAGCGGTCAACCCAAATGAGTTCAGTGTTTGCCATAACAGATTCCTGTCCACTCGGCCATAAGCCTTTTCCAAGTCCATGAACGCACAAAAAACTTTCTGGTTTTTGGCCAAAAACTTCTTCGCAATCATGCGCATGGAAGAGACTTGATCCGTACACCCCATCCCCTTTCTAAATCCAGCTTGCACATCCCAAATTTTTCCATCAGTTTCTTCTATAACTCTTTCAATTAACACCTTAGCATACAGTTTACCCACAATACTAAGCAAGCTGTTACCACGGTAGTTTTTACAGTCCTGCTGCGAGCCCTTTCTCTTATATATTGGGACTATAACGGCTTTGCACCAGTCTTCCGGTACCCGCTTCAGTTCCCAACATAAATTAAAGAAGGTATACAGCAGGCCTGCAACCACACTCTCTCCAGCCCTTAGCATTTCGAGTGATATTCTATCATATCCGGCTGCCATTACCTGCTTTCATGCTTTTCATTGCTTTCATTATTTCATCTACACTTATCTCCCTACCTCTCTCCACTTCTTCCGGAATTTCTATTTCACTTACTTCAGACGACTCTTAAACACGCTTTCAAAGTATTCCTTCCATCTCTTTAAATTCGAAACTTCATCATTCAGCATGCAGCCATTTTCGTCTCGTATAGCATTCATTCCAGGTTGTTTTGAATTTTCCCTGGCAATTCTTATGAGCTTCCAGAACATTTCAATATTTTCCTGGAAGTTATCAGATATCCTTCTATCATTCTTATCTATCCTTTCTTGCTTTTTCCTTTCAACAACTACTTTTACTCTCTTATTTATACGTCTAAAGTATGCCTTTTATCTTTCAATCTCATCATTCATACCGCCAGAATTACCAGCTTTAGTTGCTAGTAAATCTAGCCATGCTCTCTTCTTTGCTTCAACTTCCATCCGTACCTCATCATCCCACCACAACGTATTACTTTTCCTTTCACTCGTTTTCTTACTTACACCACATACTTCGGTGGCTGCATCCACCAAAACTTTCTTAATATTATTCCATACATTCTTCAAGTCTAAATCATTCATACATAATTCATTCAACCCACTTATATTTTCCCTCAGTCTGCATTTATACTTCTCTATCACACCTTCATCTTATAACCTCTTTATTCTTATACGCTGTAACGCAGTGGTAGACACAGATGTCCGATGCCGCCAACGTCTGAATAGACCATTAATTCGGCGTAAGACCAAGTAATGATCCGTCCCTACGTTGGACCCCCGGTAAACCCTTGTATCTACCACTGCGCTCCTCATCCTTTCATCCACAATTATGAAATCTATCATACTTCTATCATCCCCTCTTTCCCAAGTATACATGTGATTCCTCTTATGGCGAAAGAAAGTGTTCGCCACAAAAAGATTCTTTTCCACACATACGGTGAGGAGGTCTTCACCATTCTCATTTATTCTTTCATCGCCAAACGTTCCTAATATCCTTTCATAACCAGACCTCTTCACACCAAACCTCCCATTAAAATCTCCTAACATAATAATATTTTCATTTTCCTTACATTTCATCAACACCAGCCATACCATGTCCCAAAACTGCTCTCGGATATAAGTGGGCTTAGACATATCTGAGGCGTACATCCCTAGCACAAACAACTTCTTTAAGCCCACTTTCATTCGTATCCACAGCAGCCTTGGGCTTACACATTCATACTCTTTTACACATTGACCCATTCTTTCTGAAAGTATGACACCGTCTCGTCTACTCCAGACCAGTAAGCGGTATACATGCCATGGGCAGTAACATCTCTTCCCTTTCGTTTCGTCTCGTTTACACAAAACACATCTATTCCTCTATCATTCATCATTTCGCATACTTCATCCATCTTATCATTCATTGCTCCACATACATTCAGCATACCCAGAAGGGCCTCAGCAATCCACTTTTCGCCCCTCCGGGAGACAGGACGTGATGGGTGTACATTATATTTCTTTATTAAATATGTAATTATGTTAAACGACTTGACTCATTTTTAAGTGCGAAATGGCGATTCACCTTAATTTCATATACATCGTATTAAAACCATTTTCCCTATCATTTCGCCCAAGGAACGCCACAAAGCACGATCCTGAACCACCTACTTCCATCGAATTCCTGCATCTCTTACTACATCGTCACTCTATCTAGTGGGGGGGGGGGGGGGCAAAAACATACAAATTGTAAACTGCTTTATTGGAGTCGGCTAACATTAGTTTTCTCACACCTACTTCTGAATCTCACCTTGTCCTTGCTATTTAGCACGGCGGCGGCGTGCGGTGGTATCCGCAGTACGTAGTGTGGTCGTTTGTGCAGGGGAAGCCAAACCCGTGCTGGCAGGTTCAAATCTAGCGTCGCTAATTCGGCTCGTAATCTACCATTCCTTCGCTCTTTGTCCGCGACGCTGGCCAGACGCCGACCGATGTTCGTAAGGGCCGTGAGAAACTGAGGAACAAGAACAGTAAGAGATTTTTATTACACAATGTCAGTTAATTGAGAAATTAGTTTTAAATAATAGTTTATCATTATCTAGTTTGATATTAATACACAATACAAAGCATGAGTGGTTTGATTATTAATTTTTATTACTTTATAACTCTTTTATTTTCTACTTTTAGTTATATTTATAGTTCGGTTTATTCATTTCTAATCTAATTAATATAAAATATAACTAATAATACGGATAAAAACATTAAAATTTATTTAGATCACTGTGGAGTACTTGTTTCCTTACCTACCATAAATGCAAAAAAAAAACAGAAAATTGAAAAATTTGTGTTTGTTCCGATTAATGCAAAACGCCTGGAGATTTTTCAAATCTCTCCAGGCATATGGTAAAAAAACCTTCTATTGTCAATTGTACAGGAAATATAAGACATGAAGATTTTATTGCCAAAAGATAAGTTAATAACATACTGCTTCGAGAAAAGGATGGTACGACCACGCCGCTTTTTTGCTCGACTTGGCTGGGGGCACTGCCGTGCCCCAAGATAATATAGCTGTTTTGCTTATTTTTTGTCTTTTTCCATAATATTTCACTACGTCTGAGGTTGTCTTAAAGAATTCCAAAAGATATTTTGTAACTCTATGGTTTTTAAAATAAAAGTAATTATTATTCGGTTTATATAAATTAAATATTACAGTACTTGGCACCGAACTTCACTCGGTTTTAGAAAAATATATAAAATATAATTCTCAGATACAATGACACCAAATAAACATGAGAAGTAAAACAATATTTTAAATTTTTTTATCCAAGTCGTTACCGAGTCACTTTCGAAAAACCAATTACATAATATTATTACACAATAATAACTCGATTAAAGTATTAAGATAATATTAATATATAGCTCATATTATAAAAACGTCGAATGAGATAATATTTTTTTTTTTTACATTTTAATGGTATTTAAAACTGATAAACAATAAAACGTAAGTAAATTCATAATATACGTATTATAGTTGTGGGTCGTTGTCGAATTTTGACTAACGTAACGCAACCGTTTTCTCGACGTCGAAAACGGTCATCGTTGCAACTGATTTGAAGACGGCTTAAAGGATCCAAAATGAAATATAATTGCGTTTTTGTCTAGTGCAATGATTGCAGTTTCTTACAACTATGTCTACATTTGTATACGAACGCGAAACCAGAGACTACAATACAACACGGAACGTTAAGGACGACGACGCGAAGAGTGATATAGATAGAATTGAATCATTGCGTTCTCGACTGTATTTTCATAAGCATAAAATAGAAAATTGCAACAAGTAATTCGAAGACTGGTTTGTGAAACAAGACTGCTTGAACCCAGGACGTAAAACGATTTCATCGTCGCAGAACACAAAACGGTCTTCGTAAACGGTTCATGCTCGCAACACCCACCCCTAGTATTATATTAGTATACTGCACGTTGTGAAAGTAATATTGACTCAGGCTGGGATTCTAACTCAGAATAAGAGTTAGCAAAGATACTGTGAGCATAATGACGCAATCCAAAAGGGTCTGATGCTGTTTAGCATTAAATTTTACAGTAAACTTGCCTTAATGCATTGAGAACACTGCATGACATTTTTTTTAATTTGGAGGGACACGTTAATAACGTTACAATGTTATAATATTCTCTTTAATAATTATCTATTTCGTTATTTTTTAGAGTAGGTAGTTGAGTAGGTTAACAGATGAGATTTCCCATTCATTGCAACTTCAGTCCTCATTCTTATATAAACCATTCACTCTAGTTTTTACATATAGTGCTGTTAGCCTTTTGGCTTTTACGGCTTCATTGGTCTCAGGGCTGAAAAGTGGGTGGAAATTATTTATTTTAGTGTAACGTTGCACTAAAAAGAATAATTTTGTGTTTTTGTGAACACGTCTTGACATTGTTGAGTTGTCTAACTGCCGTCGGAGCAAGGGTGGCGGACCCCAGCTGTGGCGGCTAACTTGTTTCGTTTGATGTTCTGGGCGGTGAGAACCGCCCAGGGACGCGGTTGTGCGGTATGTACGCGGTGTGAAGGGGTGTGCGGCGCGCCCGTCTCTGCACTCGTTGCGTCCCATCCGTTGTTGTCCTAATAGTGTGTGTGTGGTACTAGGTGATTGTGTAGTGTTTGTGTATAACTGGCCGGCGACATTTAGGTCTGAATCTAGCCGAACTGGGGGTTCGGTTAAAACGTTGCTGGGCCTCCGGAGACTTTCCGTAACGTCTGGAGTCGGGGCGTAGGTGTGCCATTCACTGTTTGTACTCCATTACAAACATTATTTTGATTGCGTAAAAAATAACATGTTTTTTATATATTACATCCTAGCAATAAATCTCTTGCACGGAATTTGCCTCTTCTCTTTTTTTAATTGCAAAGGAAAATATGACGATTTGGTTCGAAAGAAAAATACTGCATTTTGTGTTAACTATTTTAAATGCATAACGGGAAAACTGCGTTTCAAATTGAATGACATCGTAAGATCGCAGTTCGTCGACATAGCCATAAAAAATAACTTGTATATTAAAAAGAGAAGTAATTAAACGTTAAGGCGTAATAAAATTTGGTTAGCCACAAAAAACAGCATTTAAATAATTTGGTTAGCGTTCAAAGATTCTGTTTGCAATAAAAAAAAAAAACATTCGGCAATTCTTGTTTCGTAAATAATCTTAATAACGTTCAACAATTTAATCATAAATAGACAGCTTACAATAATATGAGTTTGCCTAATAAACAGTCAATCCGCAAAGTACTTAATTGATCATCAGCAAGATTCACGATAGGTTAGTAAAGAAAATATGTCTATAAACAGAGACCTAAATTTAACCAACTTCTACGGCCTGCAGTAGTTGGTTAAATCTAGGTGTACTGTTAAATTTGTAAAAATACAGAAATACGTATCAAGTGATATCAGCGACAGTAGCTTAAGCTGCTATTTTATATTAGCTGGCAGTTATTTAGATATAATTATACATATTCTATTATTTGAATTAATATAATGTTTAACAATAATTGTTAGCCTTTAGTTTTACACACATTAAATCTGCCGTGTGGTGGTGAGTAAGAGACTACATCACCCCGTGTCATCCCGTGGGTGTGGTAAGAGGCGGCGAGAGGAAATGCCAGAAAATTTCATGGCCTCCGATAGATTGCGGTGTAACCATCTCGTTCAGGCCAGACGTAAAATAATCAGAACGGCGACCGACAGCAACGTCAAAGGTATAGCACCTTTGACGTTTGGTATAGTCTGTTCGCTTAGATACGGTCGCCTTAGTGTCGCGCCGCCTCGGCACGTGCCGCATCTTGTCCAGGCGCCGCCGCGACATCAAAGGTCGCCGCGTGCGGCGTACACCCGCAGGAAAATTTGTCATTTTAAAACGAAACGCCGTAGTCAGAGGTTGTTTTTGTTGATTCTGCTAAGTATACAGAAAATGTTTTTTTCATCCTTGGGAGGACAGTGAAGTGCCTCAAGATAAAATTTTGAATGAACCAATAACAAAATTATTATTTTAGTATGGATTCAGAACGTGATGACGTTGAATGCCTTATTCTGAATACAGGTGGCAATGACTCAGACTCCTTGAGTGATGATTAATAGAATGTCTATTTTACTTTCGTCGGCGGTGTGTTCCCCCCGTCATCAACAGTCGAATTGGACGCAAAAAGGGCGCCTAAAAGGTCGGCTTTCTCTTTTGCGTCGTGGGCCAGTGAGTCGTCCTCCCTGTGCAGAGATGGTAGTGATGGCTTACAGAAATTCCCGAACTAGTTTCTCGCCAATTCTGCCTATGTGCTCTGACTTTGCCTTGGCAATAACTCTTTTGAAGGACCTGGAGGCGAAGTTATACTTCTTTTTATGTGTGCTGGTGTTTACATCCCGAGTCGCCGAAGCCGCAGCCCAGGCTTGATAACAATCCTGCTTATTGCGTAATGCAGTCTTACAGGAGCAACCAAACCAAGGCTGAGATCTGCCTCCGATGGGTACCACAGATGATGGAATAAATAGTTCCATTCCCTGTAGCACCACATCAGTGACAGAGTCAGCAACAGCGCTGGGATCATCCGGCGAGAAGCAAACCAAAGCCCCCATGGTTAGGATGCAAAGAAAGACCGCATTCCGTCCCAATCCGCCGACCTGTAATGCCAAACACGGCGGCAACCTGTAGAACGCAACCGCGAGGGGAGCGTGAGTGGCACCACACTCCGGATCAGACAATGGTCCGAAGAGCCGAGATCGACGGAAACCTGATATCCGTCCGGATGAGAGGTCAGCAGAAGGTCCAACAGGGAAGGTGTTTGATCCTCCACATCTGGAATCCGCGTAGGCGAAGTAACCAGTTGTGTCAGACCATATGCCAAGGCAAAGTCATAAACAGATCTCCCCGCATGATCGGTTAAATCACGATCTCTGCGGATGGGACCTGTTGTAGCAAGGAATCTGAAGCCATTTGGACATGGTCGATGAGTCGGTCTGTTTCGGCATTACCGCTATGGGACCTATAGAGGCACCCGTAGACGCGCGGATGTATGTCAAAGAGGACATCTGTTCTCGACGCCTCGGCAGTCTTGAAGGTTCGGACCTGTCCATCCTTTGACTACGCGTAGACAGCGACAACGGGTCAAAGGATGGACAGGTCCGAACCTTCAAGACTGCCGAGGCGTCGAGAACAGATGTCCTCTTTGACATACACACAAACTCCAGCCCGAGGCACTAAAGAGTGCTCCACTTTGTACCCCGGGCAGGAGAGATACGAAGTATCAACCGGAGAGGACACCTGCGTCTCGGTCAGAAAGAGCAAGGCCGGCTTCGCCGTCTAGAGATGGTAGTGGACGGCGTTTAGGTTCGAGTCCCCTGATGTTGCAGAAATTCACGGATAGCGTGGCAGGGGTCGCCTTGGTATTGTTGCTCAGTTTGCCCCGAGCAGTTATGTTTTTGAACGGAATTTTTTTTATTTGCAAATCTATTCTAATCA